TCTTAATTTAAAATAACCAGTAAAAGTGTAAATAAAGAGTTTTTTAATAATAAAAATAAATAAAAATAATAATTTATTAAATATATTTAAAAATCTAATCTAGAGAATAACTGATGTTAATTAAAAAATAAAGTTTTTTTAATTTTTGAATGATCTTGCTTGTTAATGGCAACGCTTTTTTCCAAAAAGAAATTGATCCATTTATTTCTTACTTGTTTCTTTATCGTGAGTACTAATTATTTTTTCTATGAGCATAGCTTAACTCCTTAAATCTGAGCCTGATATAGGCTTTTTTTTTATTATGATCCTTTGAGCCAATGACAATTTTAAACCAATTTGGAATTCTGCATTATATGTGGTGCCATCAGGCTAGCTAACACCCTGATAATATGCATTATATATATATATATATATATATATATATATATATATATATATATATATATATATATATATATATATATACATATATATATATACATATATACAATATATATATACATATATATATATATATATATATATATATATATATATATATATATATATACATATATATATACATATATATATATATATATATACATACATACATACATACATACATACATACATACATACATACATACATACATTGTTACTCAACTCTATAACTTCAAAACGCAAACTTTGACTAAAAAGGCCTCTGCGTGGAAAAACAAGTTAAGTGTGGTACTACCAGGGGCATGGGGGGATCAAACTCAGAACTTCTCATTTATGAGGCGAGCGCTCCACAGCTTAAACTATTTTATTTATAATTTAAATTATTAAGTTCATTTTATTTAAATTACATACAAAAAACATTGAAATAATTTATGACACTAAATAAGAAATATAAATAATGAAAATTTTAAAAATTTTGAAAAGTTTTGGTGTATAAAAAATTATAAGAAATTATAAGACTAAGTTTGAAGAGCCATTACATTAACATGAATCACTTATAATTATTTTTTAGAAAATGGTTAAATTAAATTTGGTAAAGATTTATTGCTAAAATTTTATTTTATGTTGTAAAAAGCAGAAATTTTGCTTGTTTAAAAGCAAAATGTTCAACAATTAGTTGTTCGTGCTATCAATTACTAAAAAGATTGAGACTCCATGTAACATGAAACATTAAGCTTTATTTCAAATATTGATATCAATAAAACATGGCAAACTGTGTGTACTGTTATCTAAAAAAATGACATCATAAATACTGATATCAATAAATCTAAATGAATTATTGTAGTTAAAGTAAATATTTAAGTTAAGGATACGCCAAGTATCAATCATTCTGATAAAAAGCTACCCAAAGTCATCAGCATCAAATAAATCTATTAATGCAATATTGATGCAAAATCAGCTAGATCAAAGTCTAAATTTTTGACAAGTTCTGGTAGTTTTTATCTAAAACTATCTATAAAGTGAATGATATTAAGCGCAAAAGAGCAAGTAGCTGAAGTTATTTAGACAATTGTTTAGATGTTTAATTTCTTCAAGCTCTGCCATTGTGGCAACTGATGGTTACAATTCTAAATATAAGCGTATGTTTCCAGATTCTGAAATTGTATTAACAAAAATCTTATAAATTGAATTGAACAATTTCATTTGGAAATTACCAATGGTAAGGTAAATATAATTATTCAATAAATTGAATTGAACAATTTCATTTGGAAATTACCAATGGTTACCAATGGTAAATTACCAAAGGGAAAATACCATTTGGATTGTCAAAAAATATTTCATAAATGTTTGCCTTTTAAATTTTGATTCAATGAAACAACTACATCACATGACACTTATGCCACATAAAATTTTATTCATTTTCAGCAAATCATAACATCATACATGGGGACATTGTTGGTAGGGAGGTGTACTGAAGAAGTTTTTCTTCACCATTTTAAAGTTGGTTGTAGAGAAAATCAGCTGCAACCAGGGTCAATTCTTAGATGATCTCAGGGTTAATAAACCGCTCTTAAAAAAGTTGGAAAATTAGTATGAAAAAGATAGAATGTAGGATCATACCTGCTCCATACAGTTTCCAATTTTTTTTCAAATGGTTTGAAAGCATTAATTTTTGAAGATATTGATATGGACCTGATAACAATCCACAGTTTTTTTTAAGATTATTGGAAAAAGATTTAAAGACTATTGTTTACTAAAGATGCAAAAACAAAGAAATTCTTCTTAATTCAGAAAAAGGATTTTCTATCAACAAAAGATTACTTGAGTTAATTTTACAAAAATTCATTTTATTGTATTGCCCAGATGTTAGTACAACAATAATGTTAATTATAAAAATAGAAAAAGGAAACTTGAAGATGTTGAGTATTAATCAACCTAATATCCCAACAGATTCTGCTGACAAACTTGTGGAAGGCAAAAACAACTTATTTATTATATGTTTATTAACAAACTATTTTGTAGTTACTCGGTTAGATATAATCTTGATTCAGATATGATCTTAATTCAGATATCTTCTGTTGTCTTCTGTTTTCTAGAAGAAAAAGCAGAAAGCGTCTGCACAAATAATTCTGGATTGATAGTGTAGGTGCTTTCCAATTAAGTTGTGAGCATCAAGAGTATTGATTGCAGAATAATTTAACCTTTGAATGGTTGGCAAATTAAATGGTCAGAGAGATATGCTTTGCTGAGATATTTACTATTTAAGTTATTCTAAATACCTTTTTCATTTTAAATTTATGTGTTATAAGTCATTCTAATTTAGTAATTGCAGTCATTTAAACAAATAATTGATGGGAATTTTAAAGTGTCCATAATCATTAAGTTTTTGTACTTTTTTTTCATCAACATATCTTTTGATATTTCTGAAAACTAGATCAAAGTTTTTCACATCTACAAAATCAGTTGTTCTGATTTAAAATAAAAAGTGCTCAAAATTGTTTAGTTTTACTCAAGTTAAAACCAGTGTTACTAAGCTTGAATGATTTAAAAGTTTATTAATAGATTGACACCACCACCTATGCACTTATTTCTATTTTTTCTGTAAAGATTGTAGCGATTATACATCCATAAGTTAGATGATTTTTTTTCCCACTAACTGTTATGATTTTTACACATGTCTACTACTAACTTTAATTTCTTCATTTTTTATTTTCTAAATAGAGGCATTTAAATGCATACATTTTAATGCTATGATTCTACTTGGTGGTTAAATAAATTTCATTGAACTAGTGTTGTTTTGTTACCAAAAGGAAGAATCTTCTGAAAGAGTACTATTGGCTTTTTTTTCTAGGCTTAATTTTACCAGAAATCTTTGTGTCAGATAGTTAGACCTACAAAAATCTTGACCTACTTTTTGTTGTTCTACAAAAAGAACATCTACTAAAAAGTGGAAGTAATTTTCAGATAACCAATTGAGGCCTAAATTGTTTTTAACTGATTATAATTTTTTTTATTTTCAACCAATTTATCACGTTTTCATTTTCAACCGATTTATTTTTTGACCTGTTTTATAGATTCAACTGATTTGAGATAAATTAATTTTCAATTGATTATCTGGTCTGCATTTTTAATTATTTTTTTTAAACTACAATTTTTTTTTTTAAATTAACAATTAATAAGTTTTCCAAGCATTTATTGAACCTTATACCTCCCGATTTCAAAGGCAGTGCTTCACCACTGTGCCAAGGCTGATCAAATTTGGCTCATATTCAAATCAATAACAAAATATACTAAATACATACCAGAAAGGCATAGTTATAAAATTGAAAGTAGAGTAGGTTGAATATTCAGTAGGTTGAAAATTTAGTAGGTCAAAAATACAGTAGGTCGACAATTTAGTTAGTTGGAAAATTAGTAATGCATGTTTTAATTAGGTGTAGATATAAAAATCAAAAAATTGTCGGTTGAAAATCAAAAACCTCATAATCTATGATTTACGAAATTTTAAAATTTGGTTGAGTTGTAGGCCACTGAAATCTTGTACTTCTATAATAACAGGCCTTGATATTGTGCAATAAAGTTATCTAACTGAAGGCAATTTATGAATTAGTATTTAAATTTTTATCTTTTAACTTTAAAGTTTGCATTTTTCTTTTTTTGGGAAAAAAGCCCAAAAGTTGAACAAACTTGCTCAAACATTATTGAATAAAAAGTTGTTTTAATAGTTTATGAAGATGCCTTTGAAATGTTGCGTACTTCTTTGCAAGTTGAATCACTCTGCTGAGCAAAAGATATTGATTTAAAAAATTCTGAAGTATCCAGAGAATAGAATAAAATGAAGCTATCATAAGACTTAATTAACAGACAGCAGTATGATGACTGCATTGATAATTAGTAAAACTTAAGGAAAACTAAATAACTAATATTCTGATAATTATAATCACAAAAATGTTTTATCATATAATGTTGCAGAACTTTATAAAAACTGAATTGTGAAATTTCAGAAATTGATTTTCATTAAATAGTATAGTCTTTTAGGAATGTTTAAAACTAAATAGAGAAAGGTCTCATGTTTAAAATTGAATAGAGAAAGGTTTCATGTTTAAAACTAAATAGAGAAAGGTCATTTAAACTTCAAAAAAGTTATTTTAAAATTATATCTACATTAAAACCCAAAAAAAAAAAAAAGACTTTATTCAAAGCAAATTAAATGATTAGTTAAACATTTTAATTTTATTTAAAGTCAAAAAGACCTTAAAAGAGGTTTTTTAAAATATATTTGCCTTAGCCCTTATATTGTTATATCTCTAAGTTATGTTGAATCTATTTAATGTGTGATGCTGCTAACTTATTTGTTATCATCATATTTTTATTATATATATTTTATAGTTTTTAACTTAATATACATTTTAACTAAATATATTGCATATCCACAAAACTATATCATATGTAGTTTATGTGTCAGTTTACCTTTTTGTTATTAAACTAAGGAATACATGGTTTTTATTAAAGCTTATTTTTGATTTTCATTACATAATATTTTAGATTTAGACTTTAAGCAATTTTGTAATTTTTAGCTTGAATGTTGATTTGTCGCAACCTAATTTAAACTTGGAGCCAAAAACTCTCCTTGGTGGTGTGTATATTGTTCAGGTAATAATTACACTTGATGTTATTGGTCTAAGCAACAGTGCAGAAATATTTATTCATATTATTGAAGATGCATTGCAAGTATCTATTGTTGGTGGTTCTTATCGAGAGTTGCAGTGGAATGAATCTGTTATATTAGATGCAAGCGGTTCTAAAGACCCTAATGAAGCTGATGGATCTTATAATTTAGAATTTTTGTGGTTTTGTGAGCTTTTTAATAAAAATATTTCAGTGGGTTGTTTTGGCAATAAAATTGGTTCATTAGATTATTTTGGTGATGTTTGGTATATTCCAAAGAAAGTTTTAATGGAAGGTATGTTATATAAATTCAAAGTAAGTGTTTCAAATACTGAAAAAGAAAGAACAGCTGAAGCAACACAATTTATTAGTTTACTTGATAAAGATATTCCTATTGTTTCTATTGGGTAAATTTATTTCTTATTATGTAAACACAATTTTTTTTATGGAAGCTAAATTTTTTTTTTAAGGTTTTTTTTTAATATTTTTTGATTTTTATATATCACAAGGTAGCGGCTTTCAGAGTTAAAGAGTGTGCCCTTTCAACCTTACAGAAGTGAATAACATATATATATATATATATATATATATATATATATATATATATATATATATATATATATATATATATATATATATATATATATATATATATATATATATATATATATATATATATATATATATATATATATATATATATATATATATATATATATATGTGTGTGTTATTCACTTCTGCTAGGCTGAAAGGGCACACTCTTTAACTCTGAAAGCCGCTACCTTGTGAGAAAGTTGAGCGCATTACTATCAGAAAGGTGCTCAGAGCTTTAACTAGGAAATTCGCGGATTCCTTACCAAAGCAAGAGAGAGCTGCATCAGCCTTTTTCATGTTGATACAGGTACCCTGCAAACAAAGCAGCAGATTAAGATAAGTTATATAAACTCTTAAAAAAATTATACAGAAGTAAAATTAAGTGCTAACTGTGAAAACACATTCCAGAGTTTTGCTTCTCTAATTGTAAAAAAATTTTCACATTCAGTGCATTTTTTGACAAGTTGAGGTAAAATTCAATGATCGAGTCCATGGAGATTTTGCTGTTAAATTTGGAAGAGTCTAAGGAAATAAATAATTACTTTATCGATATAATAAGGGAATATAAACTGTTGTATTAGGTCACTACTTATTCTGCCATTCTCAAAAGATATGTTTCAGTTTTTACAATCTTTTCTCATAACGTAAATATTTTATCTTTGGTTTGGTTTTAGTCACAATTCTTTGGACTTGCACTATCATTGCAATATATTAGGTGAAGAGACCAAACCTAGACTACAAAATTGAAATGTATGTATGGCACATGTATGCAAAGTAGAATGTTTTCCATATTCTTAGTCTGCGGCTACATAAAGCTTTTCTTGAGACAGATAAGCATTTGGTTTAAAATTGAAACTTCTGTTTTGACTTGAGTTTTTAGTCATTAAAAAAATGATCCCAAGGTCTTTTTCAACTATAGATTCTTTAATTGTAAGATGGGTTCTGTCTGACTGTGTTACTGTGTATGAGCGTGTTGACTTTATAACATATCTAAAATGTATTATTTTACATTTCTTGAAAGCTTAAAGTGTGTAATGACTTGATAATTTTACCATCATTCATCATCAAAGTTTCTATTATTTTTATTACCATAAAGTTTATACTAAAATTTGTATTATAGTGTCTGGAAAATAAGACAAAAAGTAATGGACTAAGAACCAAGCCCTGTGACATGCTGCCAATCACTGGGACCCACTTTAATTTTAGTCCGTTTAATACTAGTCACTGTAGCTGATAGTTAACCATTTCTTAATCCATTTTAGCAGGGTGTCACTGATGCCAGTTAGTAGAAAGTTAATAGAAAATCACTTTTTTTAGAAAACTATTTTTATTTTACAGTACTTTATCAATAAAGACTTATTAGAAATGAATGATTAAGTCATTAATTATTAATAAACTTTAATTTATTAATTTAATTTTATACATATGTTGAAAGTCTTTAAATAGACTACTAGAGTAGGAGTGTCTGAAGTATTGCTTTAAAATGAACACTAAAAAAGAAAAACTTGAAAACATCCTTTCTTTTAGTTGTAAGGGTCCTTACAACTAAAAGAAAGGATGTACAGCTTTCTGAACCAATGACTATAATATCCGTCAATGCATGTACACTTTGCATTAAAAAAAAAAAAGTTGAAATAAAAGTATAAATATTCATTTTTAAACCAAGCAGTTTAAAATATTAGTCATTAAATTATTATTTTTGCAGTAAAGGAGATAAATTAATTTCTGCAAATATTTTAATCAATTAAAATTAGTTTAATTTAAAATTACTTTGTTTACAATGAAACAATGGTTATTATTAATGTTATTATTGGTTATTAATGATTGGCGCTCATATGAATATCATGAATAGCCATGTAGAGCTAATTTTAATAAGTATATTTTTATATATATGGACAAATCTCTAAATTAATTTCAAATATTTAAGTTTATCAAAAACATCTAATATCTGAAGACGAAAATTAGAATTGAAGTTAGAATAAGAGTTATTTTAAATTTATCCTGACATGTCTGTTGAACAAAACTGAAACAATACATTATTAAAAAAATAGATGTTAGTAGGGGAACCTAAATATTGTGATTTATTTATGCTGTCCAGTTATTTATCTTGACTAATGTTTTTCTATAAATATACATGTTTATCTTTTATATTTTTTAGATGGGTGTGATGACGTTTTAACAAGATAAACAAAACAAAACAAAAAAATAAAATTTTTTTTTTTTTATAATTAAATAAAACTAATGATGCTATATTAGAATTGCCTTTATGAAGTTGCTAAACATATTTGGTCTTGTTATATTGTTTTTTCTTTTTTTTACTATACCCTCCAGTATACTTATATTTAGTATCATAAGTATTTGTGGCAATTTATAACTGTGCTTCTTTGCTCAGTGAACTTTTTAACATTTTACAATTTTATTTATTTTACCAGCCATTTGCTACCAGTAGCAAATGACTTTTAAAATAAATCTCAACTATTAATTATAAAAATGATAAAATTAAAAATACAAAAAAACTGTTTAAAAATAAACAAAGGTTTTATTGTGGTTAAGATGACTTTTTAAAAAACTTAAAAATAATAATATATGATATGGCTGTCAGATATAAACAATAAAAAATCTAGATTGGATAAAATGCTTCCTGGAACAGCTCACGCATGATGTAACATCATTAAAAATAGGTACATACCAATGTGAGTAAAAAATTGTTACTAAAAATCTATATTAAAAGCATAATAAAACCAAAAAAAATGTTATATACTAATCCATTCAAATTCAACTTTCTGTTTAAGAGTTGGGTTAATAGTTTTTAATTTTTATCATATAATATTATTATATTTACCAAAAACATTAAAACAATGGTTTTGTTTAAATTAAATTCGTATTACCTACATTGACATGTAAACATATAATTATATTACATCATGTGTAGGCTCTTCCAGAAAATAGTTTATCTTATCTAGATATTTTATTGTTTATACTTGACAGGCTTATAATAAATTTATTATGTCCAGGTTAAAAAAGGTAATTCATGCTACTATTATTATGTATAGAAAAGAACATATTATTAAGTTTTTTGTTTTATTTCATAGGTGTCAATCAAATTGTCAGGAATTAGTAAACCCATCAATAAGGCTAATACTAATTATATTATGTTCTTCATGTGAATTTGATGACTTAATTTATAAATGGAGCGATATATCTGATAATCCCACACTTAATTTTCAAAAAGATGTGCTCACACATGATAATTCTTCACTTTTTGTAGTCAAACCTGACTCATTGACTAGTGGAAAATTTTATAAAATAGCTTTAGATGTTACAAAAAAGTCAGGTACGAGTTTTATTAGATTTATTTTTTTGTTTTTTGCAAAATTATCATTTTTAACTTCTCATTCTTTTCAAAGGTTTAACTTCCCATTCTGAGTATCACTTTCTGGTAAATAATGTTCCTTTGGGTGGCATGTGCTCTATATATCCTTTGAATGGCACTTCAATGACTACTGTTTTTAATGTTTCATGTTTCAAATGGATATCAAATCAGAATTCTGTATATTACAGAATCCTATTAAGTACAAAATCTTTTAACGGTGCTTTTACAAAACAGTTGCTCTCTTATGGTTCTAAAGAAAGTCATGAAATAATTTTATCTAGTGGAAATGAAGTAGATGATTATTTTGTAAACATTACTGTTGAAGTAGAAGATTTTTTTCATTCAGTTACAACTTTTGAACTACAAGCCCAGGTATATAAATTTTAAAGACAACATTTATTATATATATATATATATATATATATATATATATATATATATATATATATATATATATATATATATATATATATATATATATATATATATATATATATATATATATATATATATATATATATATATGTATATATATATATATGTATATATATATATATATATATATATATATATATATATATATATATATATATATATATATATATATTATATATATATATGTATATATATATATATGTATATATATATATATATATATATATATATATATATATATATATATATATATATACACATATATATATATGAAATATATATACATGGGCATAGAGTACTCAAATTTCAAAGGGGGGAAAAAAGTTTAAGGTTCGATTTTTTTGATCAATGTATGTCTACTGTCCAGTGTTTATAATTTAATTTTTGGTATAGAAATAAAAAAATAACAACTTTTGATTTTGATTAACAAGCATCTCGAAATTATAGTAAAACAAGCAGAGATAGAATTTTAATTGGCTCCCAAATAACAAATTCTACGATGCGTTTAGTTTTTTCAATAAACACATCTAACAAAAAATCTATTTTAAGACCCAGGTAATTTCTCTATGGGTTTCATTATAGAAACAGCATTCAGCCTTTTCTGGTTCATGGTCGATCGCAGAAAAGTTTTTAGTCTATGCAGACTACTAAATAATAGTTCTGCTGTACAAGTTGTCAGTAGCTGGACCAGAACTATTTTAATAAAACGGACAATTTCTTAAGCAATGCTTTTCAATCCAATTTTTTCTTTAGCGCAGATGAAATCTAGAACTGATTGAAAATCTTTTAAATGAACTTTTTTTTCTCTTAGCCTTGTCAATGAAGAGGTCCCGGTGAAGCTCGATCTTTGATAATTAAGAAAATTGTCCTTGTAGAATTTTTTATGCAGTCAATACTGCATTCAGTGTTATTTAATTCAATCACAAACTCTTCAAGTGTTGTTAAATTACGGGTGGTTTCTGTTGATTCAAATCTATTGATGAGGCCAAATAAAACTGCATTTAAACTAGAAAAGTATAACTGCTTGTAGATCTCATTTTAACTGGTAATAAGTATCCTTGAAGCCGACTTCAAAATCTTGCAGGTACTTTCTTCTTCCTGGGCAGAGCTAGATCGTCTAAATTCATCGTTTTAGTAGATTTAGTTGCCGCATCAAAAAGTGTTTTGAAATGTGACTTAGTATGCAAAGAGCCTTGAAAAAATTTAAACTGTGAGCTCTGCATTGAACATAAAGCGCTATGTTTTTTTGTTAAAGAACAAGTTTTTGTAAGCCAGCTGTTTCAGAAGACAGCCATGGCAGCAGCCATGTCTGTCTTATGTCTTCTGAAAAAGCTGGCTTACAAAAACTTGTTCTTTAACAAGAACTCTTGTTGCCAACAGTTCTCGAGCCATGAGTTGGAACCAAGAAGGACGTTTTTCATAATCAAAAACAGATCTTTGTTTTTAGTTGTAGCTGTCACATAAAATCCACAAAAATACTCATTAATTTGGAACTCATCATTCACAGTACAGAGGGATATCAGTACCTATACAATTTAAAAGTAAATAAAAATTTTTTAAAGGAAAATACAAGGTGTAATAAATTGTTGGTTTGGCTAATAATAACAGCTCTTTTCCAGCTGTTATTTAAACTACTATAAAAAATAACTAATAACAGTCAGTTATTTTTTATAGTACTTTATATAAATATGTAAACGTAGTAAAACTTCGATTAAAATTCTAAAATAAAAGATTAAAATTCAAAATGTTGGTAGTGGGCGTGTTTGAAGTCTTCCTAACTTCTTGACATGAAGTTATTGTCAAGTGAACTAACCGTTACTTTGAAATTTACTTTACGGTAAGTCCACCATGGTGCCTTGTCTAACTGGCTTACTTTAAAGATTTTAATTGATAATTTCTTTTTATTTTAATCTTAAAATTTAATAAAAATTAATATAAAATCTACACAAAAACAAAAATGTTGCTAAAAAAATTACTTTAAAGCAAGTATACATAATGAAAAAAATCTTAAATTGAAATCAAAAGACTATCTGAAGTTTTATTTTGTCGAAAAAATGTATTTTTTATTTGAAAAAAAGATTCCCTCGTTTGTCAGTTTTCCAAGTTTTTATTTTAAAAACGTTTTTTTGGGTATGTTTATAGCAAAGGATTATTTATTTTTTTGCTTTTTACAGAAAAAACTTGATTTCTTCCTCTGAATTCTTCTACTTTTTAAAAATAAAAAATGGAAATATTTATTTTAAGATAGGATAGAATTTCAAGGGGGGCGTATGAATTTTAATTTTTTTACGACTGCACACCCCTGGTACAATGTACAATTTGAAGTAAAGATTTTTATTATGGAAGTGAAGGTATATATATATACAACTATTATAAGTTATATATTATAACATGAGTTTTCAGTATCTATGGTAGAGTCTAACTTCTTTATTATTGGAAGTAATGTAGCACTTTTTAGACAATCCAACATAAAAGTTGGTAAATTATTCCTTTGTAGATGCTGGAATCATTTTACTTATATTACTATAATTAATATTATTCTGGTTATTATTATTGTTAATTTTTCATAGATATATACTCAGCCACTTAAAGTCATTGTGTTTTAAAAAATTGAAAATGTTCACAACAACTGCTTTGTTTTAGCTGGGAAAAAAATTAGGTGAAGCTTTTCATGCTGAGCTTGTTTTTGATATAAAAATAAAAATGTTTTCTTAACATAGACGAGTGCTTTTCAACAAAAAAATGATAAGGTTCTTAGTATACTTGTTGCATATTTTTGCGCTAAAGCTAATAAAGTTGTATTAAAACACGTCATTATTGCTTGTTACAGTAAATGCCAAAAATCTTTTTAATGCTGTTCATTTATTTTACAAATTCACATTTCCATTACGTAATCTAGTTTCTAACTTATTAGATTTTTCCACTAAAAAAAAATTAGTGAGTTTAAAACAAGATTTGAGAGGCGGTTCCTCACTTGATATTAATGGTGATATTTGTCATCATGTGCACAATGTTGTCAAAAAATTTACTAAAAGAGGCATAAAGGTGAAAGTGACAAAATTTTAAAGAGGCATTCAAATGAAAGTAAAAACTAATCAAAAAATAAAATTTAAAAGGCAGCAAAAAAACTAACAAAACAAGGAACAGAAAAAAGAGCTATAATTGTTAAAAGTTTATTTTTCTGTTGTAATGAAACATTACTTTATATTAATTTGTACAATGACATTCTTCCTATTTTTAAATCAATTTTAACTTTTGAACAAAAAGAATGGTTAATCCATCAAATTTATGACTAGCAAATTGAACGGATAAAAACAATTATAACTTGTTTTATTAGGCCAAAGATGATAAAAAATAGCGGGAACAAAGTTGAAATTTTTAAACCTGAAAGATTAAAAAATGTATTGTCGTTTCAATTATATACCTTGGAATTAATGCTGAAAAAAATTGTCAAGAACTATTTAAAATCCTGACTTCAAATCATTGTTTTATATGACATTGCTAAAAGCTTACCTTGAATCATCAGTTTACTTAAATTTCCTTTTAAAAACCCTTCATTAAAATGTCTCTCTGCAATCTTTCCCAACTTTCTTTCCCACTGTAGATATAAATAAAGAAGTATATAGCACTTCGAACCATATTTGCTGATGGAAAACCCCTATTTTCTGACTATTGTTGGGCAAAAGTTTTTCATTGTAAAAAGTAATTAGAGCTTAGTAAAATTATCTAGAAAATTCTAAGTATATAGTCGTCACATTGAGACAAGTGTAAGTCATCAGATTGAGCAATCATTCAGCATGATGAATAACATAGTTAACAAAAAGACAAATTGTCTTGACACTTCACCGTATTCTGCTATAGCTTCAGTTAAGTGTTAATTATTAGCAAACAATATCACACCACTAGGGTACTTTAAAAGACAAGATATAATGCATGATCCATTTAATAAAAAACATTTATTTATTGTTTTAAATAAAAAATGGCTTAGCTCATTAGCTTTTTGTGATTTTGATGCCATCAAATTATCTTTATTTTTTTTATTATTTAAGTACATTAACTTTTTTAAACTACCGCAATAAAATAAAAATAAATTACCACAAAACAAGTTTATTTTACTAATTAAGAAAAACAAAATTTTTGTAAATGTACATATTGTCTATTTTGTTTCAAATTTTTTTTAAGTACTTAAATTAAATAATTAAATTTACTTTTTTTTTTTCTCTTTTCTCAACATTTGTTGTATCAATTAATTAAAATATGTTGTTTTGTTTTTTATTATTTCTTAAAATTGTGGCTTCACAAATAATGATTTCTTACTTTTAAAAAGTTATTAACAAACAAAAAATATTACTTGTTGCAAAGAAAATACTTAACAAAGATGGAATACTGTTACCATATCTGAGGCAGATCTTCCAATAATGCCTTTTCACTTTTAGACAAGGTGCAAAAATGCATTGTAAACATAGTTGAACCTGCTTTTGCAACCTACCTCTAACCATTATCACATTGGTGTTATGTTGCTTCTCTTTCTCTTTTCTAAAAATACTATAATCAGGGATTATCTTTTTCCATATAATTCCGGGATTCCAGATATTTTTATAACTTTTAAATGTTTTGGATATCTGGAAAAACTAAAATTTTTTCCGGATATCCAAAACACTTTCAATACATGCAAGTTGAGGTATATATTTTTGTAATATATTTGTTTTTTAAGCTTTTTAACTCATCACTCATAGAAAAATTATAAAAATGTCAAAAAAAAAAATAGAAACAACTTAGCTAAAAGCAAAATTAAAAAGAAAATAAGGTAAAATCAATACCAGATTTTTCCAGATAATTTATTCTAACAATTTTCGGGATTTTTAAAATGACTAGGATGATTTATGTATAATGGGCAATGCTCAAAAGACCTTACGTCTCTTGAACCATCTACTAAAATTCATTAATTGAATTGAGTTTCTCGTCATTCAATTAAATCTCATCCTTTTACTGTGACTGTTGCAAAGAGCTTCAAAAATTCTCATTTGCCTAGTTTTTTTCCTTGAACATTAGTCCTTTGGAATTAGTTTCCATCTTTTTTCTTTCACTAACTTCTAACACTAATAGTGGTTGCTTTCAGCCTTGTTGGAAGTGAAGTTGTCGGAAAAAAAAAAGGAATTACTTTTCCTATAACAGAATTTTTAAATTAAAAAAACAAACTAGGAATGCTGATAAAAACAATGGTCAAATTTTTGGGCAACTTAATTGCATCAAAGGAATATATTTAGTCACCCTTCACAAAATTCAGTTGCCTGGTACTATTGAGTGACCACAAGTGTACACCTCTGTATATACATAATATATATATATATATATATATATATATATATATATATATATATATATATATATATATATATATGTATATATATATATATATATATATATATATATATATAAATATATATATATATATATATATATATATATAAATATATATATATATATATATATATATATATATATATATATATATATACAAACATATATATATATATATATACATGTATATATATATATATATATATATATATATATATATATATATATATATATATATATATATATTTGTATATACATATTTATATAAGGTGGCTTTTAAAATAACATTTTTTAATAACAAGTATTTCTATATATATATATATATATATATATATATATATATATATATATATATATATATATATATATATATATATACATATATATATATATATATATATATATATATATATATATATATATATATATATATACATATATATATATATATATATATATATATATATATATATATATATATATATATATATATATATATATATATATATATATACATATATATACATACATAGATAGATAGATAGTCTTTAAATAGAATACTAGAGTAGGAGTGTGTGAAGCTTTTCTATAATATGCTTCAAAATGAACAATAAAAAAGCAAAAATTTAAAACAACTTTTCTTTTAACTATAAACATATTTTCCTAAACTAAAACCTTCAATTGATGTAGGTACACTTCCCTAAACCTGATCAGATGTAGGTACAATGAATATAACAGTTGGTGCACCTATACCTATATGAAAATGAAATTAAAAATAATAATAATAACAAAAATTAAAATGTAAGTTTTTTAACCAAGAAATTTAAAAGATCATTAAATTATTATTTTTGCAATAAAAGAAATAAAACTTAATTTATATAAATATTTATTTCATTGTTCAGTTAAATCATTAGTAGTTTTATTTTTCTAAAATATTTATAAAAAAAAAACACATTGATTTTTATAAGAATAAAAGAAAATTGGAAGTTTAAATCATAAAAAGTTAAAACTTAAAATACATTAAGATGACTTCAATATATCCACCAGCAGAAATTGAATTTAATAAATTTTATATTTAGTTGTATTTACACAGTACTTTATTTTTGTTATATTTATATCATCATGTAGGTTTTTCCTTTAAATTCATCAAACAATAATGTTGTTCAAAACTGGTTGCTTAATGTGGTATCTGGCGAAAATAATTTGTTTAAAAAACTTTCGCTAGATGGAAATAGTCAGCTGTTGAGTCAACTTATAATCTCAGTTTGTCTGACATTAAATAATGGGTATATAACAGATGGCAATAAAACCCAGTTGTTAGATCAAAAAGAAGTATGTTTAATTTTTTTTTTCAAATTTCAAGGTTGGTTAAAAAGGTTCCTAAAATTTCAAAGTACAAAAACTTATTATTTTAAACATAAATATTTATTTTATGAGTTTATTATTTTTATTATTATTATTTTTTGAACCGAAACAAAACTCAGTTTTTTACTACTATCATTAATGAAATTAATTGATTATTGATTAGTTAATGCAATACTGTTGATTATTCAATATTGATGAATACCAATATTGTTACAAATTTCTTTACTTTACGGCTTTTTGGATTATCCATGGATTATATTCTATCAGATCTCACATACATAAATACAATCCATTTTATAGTTAGCTAACTGCTAAAGTTGTCTCTTTTTTTGTGCTTGTTTTTTTTGTATTCCTGGTTTCATTTTCTACCTCAATAAATTATATATTTGTCCTTTAATAGAATACTGTTGTCATATTTGGGCTTGTTCTTCTAATGAGGCACTCTCTCTTTTAGGCAAGGTCTAAAAACGCATTATGTATGCTGTTTGAAGCTGGTTTAGCTGCCAAACTTGAGCTTCTGCCCCATTGTTGTAAAGTTGCCTCTCTTTTATCTTTTCAAAAAGAATAACCGTTGTTGCTGCTAAAGTGAGCTATCATCACTTGTTGAATTAACTAAAACTCAATCTTGTCATTCAGCAAAGCTTTTCACTGCAACTATCCTTCATTCTTGAAAAACATTTGTTAATTTAATTTTTTCCATCATACATACGTGCTTTTGAGTTTCTATTTTCTCCATGTTTTTCTGACTCGTATAATTTAATATATTTTTCATATAGTTTCGTATATAGTTTCATATAGTTTCATATAATTTTATACAGTTTCATATAGTTTACAGTTTTTGAAGTCTTCTGTAAACTTCTTTCATGCTTTTAAATTCTTTTGGTTATTATTTTACTAACATTTTTAAATATTTGCTTTGAATAAATAAAAGTGAATTCTGTTTTTAAATTAAATTTTTTCAAATACAATTTAACAAATGCCAAGAGGAATTAAAATCTCAAATGAAGAAAAAGACAAGATTGAAGCCTACAGATTATTGTGTTTATCAAACAGTACAACTGCTTGCATGTGCAATAAATGCACATCTCTAGCACTAACTAAAGCGCACAAACACTTTTGTCTTGATTAGGCCAACAAATACATAACTTGGAAAAATGAATGGCAGTAAAGTGTGTGGTCGAAAAAAAAAAGGTCAATCTTGATGATCGAAATAGCTTCAATTACTACTGGCATGACATAAGAAAAAAGAAAATATTTTAAAAAAAAAGCTATGAGTTGCGGAGAAGTAATGATTTAGGGTGCATTCTGTTATTTAGGAAAAAGTACAAATGTTTTATTACTATTAAATTAAATGCTGAAGGATATAGAAATTTGTCGGATGATTATTTGAAGGATATTTTTTACAAAATAATGCTCCAATTCATAAAGTCAAATATCCCATGATTCACCTGCAAGAAAATTCAATTATTTTTATGTTTATTTTTTTTAATATATATATATATATATATATATATATATATATATATATATATATATATATATATATATATATATATATATATATATATATATATATATATATATATATATATACAGTGGTTTTCATAAATTTAGACGCACTTATATTTAAGAACAGAAATTTTTAGTTTTTCAACAATAAAACAATGACGAAAAAAGATTTTGGTTTAGTTTTTTTTCTATTTATTAGATAAATACATACAGAATACAACATTTAAAAAAAGTTTACAAAAAAAATGAAATACTAAGTAATAATTAGGTACAACTACATGGTATTAAAAAAATTAGACAAAAAAAATTATTCATAAATTTAGACGCACGATACATTAGAAGGCGTAATTTATGAACTAATCAATATTTTGTGTATCCGCCTTTTGCTTTAATACAACTAAGAACTCTTCTAGGCATAGGCTCAACAAAATTTTTGCACATTGCTTCTGGGTCCCCATACCAGGTCTCCTTAAGGAATTCCTTCAGCTGAGTAAGTGTGGAAATTTGAACCTTTGCTAATTCACGGTCAATCCAAGCCCAAATGTTTTCAATCGGGATTAAATCAGGTGAGTATGGAGGCCACGGTATTGTCATGATATTATTATCGTTTAACCACTCCTTTGTATAGTATGCAGTATGTGCAGTAGCGCCATCTTGTTGAAGTTTCCATGGTTTATCATTGAGCATAAGCAGGTCAATTGATGGAATTAAGTTGTTTTCCAGTACTTCTACGTATATTCTGGAGTTGATTCTTCTGGTGTATGTTTGGCACATACCAACACCTTTGTAATTGAAGCATGACCAGATTCCTATAGAACCTCCTCCACTTTGTACAGTTGGTCTAATGTACCTGGCGTAATACTTTTCATGAGCCATTCTTTTGACTGTTATGTTAGATTTGCGATTGATAAGCTCAAAGTTACTCTCATCACTCCAAATAATGTTTTCCTATTGTTCTATTGTCCAATACCTTCTTTCACGACACCATTTTAGTCTCCTTTGTTTATCATATGGACGCAGAAGCGGTTTCTTCAAAGCAGTGTAGACTCCAATCTTGTATTTGATAAGTATTCGGCGGACTGTGCTTTGAGAAATAGATGTATTTCCTGTTGTATTGAATTCTGTGGTTGATTCTTTGTAACTAATTCTTGGATTAGCTCTGACAGCTCTAAAATGAACACTATCGTCCTTTCTGGTGGTTGACAAGGGTCTACCTTGCCTCGTTTTCTCGCTGGCACCACCAGTGTAAAGAAAGTTTTGTTTCGTTGTCCGAACGCATTTCTCAGAAACTCCAATTAACTTGGCAATTTTTTTATTACTTTTGGTTCCTTCTTTGATGTGCGCAATAATTTGCCATCTTTCACCTTGAGTGATACGTCTTTTGCCCATTTTTCGCGTTTTTTTTGTGCAAAACTAACTTAACTTTTGTTTATTTATTAAATAATGATTAATTAATTCCAGGTAAGTCATATTTATATAAGGTTTTTTGACAAAATCAATTAATTTAGGCCTGTTAATGAGAAATATGGGGATAAAACGACTAATTAACTATCAATTAACAAGATATAAGACTTTTTTGATTGTGCGTCTAAATTTATGAACAAATTAAAATCAAGCTTATCAATTAACTTTTTTGTGTTAATCGGTGTAGAATGAGTAATAAACATCCTGTAAAAAAAATTAAGGTACTCTATAATAGAGTTTCACTTCCTCTTGTAAATTATATATCAAACATAGCGGTAGTACTTTTATTGTATTTTTATTTTGAGTATTTTCTTACATATATGAAAAAAAAAATGAATGCGTCTAAATTTATGAAAGCTACTGTATATATTTACATATATTTTGCTGATCTATTGTGATCAGTGTCATCAGGTACAATAAATAAAAATCATTACAAAGAAAATTATTAATTTGATAACACAATTAAGTAGCCTCCTTGTCTGTAGTGACCTTCTTGGCCTTGGGGAGGTGAATTAACAAAAAGAAACTATTAGAAAAAGTAACATTTAAAAGAGCATAATAAAATTCAAAAAAAGTTTTTCAAAAGCTAATCTAATAAAAATTGGGCCCAAACTTTTGTTATCACATTGTTTAAGTCATTTACATTAAGAATTTTTTCAAACAACTTCTCATCAACTTTCAAAATTTGATTATTTCAAGTGGTTATTTAATTTCCTGAACATGATACTCTGAAGCAATGGGTATGGTTTCGGGATTCAGTCAGTGAAAAGTAGCATGGCATGATTTAAAATCATTATCAGCAAGTGAACTGGCCATGAACATGAACATTTTTTTTTAGACTATTTTTCTGGTGCTCAATATATCTTGATATGACTTTCTTATTAGTATCATTAATGTACATAGAATTGCATAAACACTTTAGTTCGTAGAAACCTGGGTTTGCATTTGAAGGAATTTTTGTCTCACTGTTGCAGAATATATTTTTTAAATTTGGAGCTGATGTGAATATAAGTTTTATGTTTTGTTTCATAAGTTCTTTTCTTAGTTTGTACCAGCAACTAGTATTCATGGTAGCTTTATAGTTGGTAATTAAAATAATTTAAAAGTTTCCAATAAAAAAGATTGTCAATTTTTAAATCTCAAGTTACCAACAATAAGAATTTAAATTACTGTAAGGATACTTAACAGAAAAATATTAGTTTAAAAAATTTTTTTTAAATTTGATATTACATACTCTAAGGTGTTGTTAATTGATGTATCAGCATTATAGTTAGTAAAAGTGATCACTTGTAAAAATGTTTCACCATTCATCACATCGTTGAACCTTTTTCCTAGGTTAATTTTGTTATGTTTATTGATACATAGTTGTTATTGTACTATTTGACATAAAGAAATTGAAGGCATTAAGAAGGCCTTGGTTTTCTTATTTTTTAATTTACTGTTTGCGGCTGTAATGTACCGAGTTTAGTATTTTTGTATCATTGGAAGTTTAAAGAATTAGGGTTGTTGTTGTAATTTTCTGAAGGTCTAAAGATGCAGCTGAGAATGATTGATTTGTTGGAATGAACAAAACACCATGTTTATTGTACAGAAGCTAATGTTTTTATAAAACTTTATCGTTTTTTTTTTAAATTCATTGTATGCTCCTTTTTTTTTGTTTGAGTAGGGTGTTGTTTGAGTAGGGTGTTGAAGTATGGTTGTTCAGCTAATGTATGGTTCAATCTAATTAAAATGTTTTTATTACAAGTTATTGTTAGAATTTTAACAAATGATATGATATCAATATGGTGATTTAGTTATAGATTAAATAATTATATTAGCTGGATACATTTTGGTTTGATCAAGAGTTACTTATATAAAGAATAGATCTCGATTTTTGTCTGTGAATTTGCACAACTTTAACATATTTTTAAAAAAGATATTTGAAATCTAGCATGTTGAATGCAAAATAAATGTTGCTTTAGCCACAACATTTTTCAAATTACAGTTTAATG